AGGAAGGTCAAGCAATAAAAGAATAGAAACCAACATTAACAATTTGCATAAAGGCTCGGGAAATAGTTCTGAATAGCCCAAAAGCAAGGTACCTCAGCAAGTAGGAGACTGATTTTATCATCAGAAGTGGTCAACAAATCCAATGCTTCAACAGAGGAAGAATCTTTGATTAAATTTTCATCATCTGTAGACAAATTCATACTGCATTCAAGAAGCCGGTTGTGAAGAAGCTGGCACTCCTTGAGCAGCTTTTCTCTTTCATTTCTTACATGCTTCATTATTTTTCTTCCCTGTTCTAGTTGTGCCTGCAAAATCAGAAGATTACATCACATAGCAAGAAACTTGGAGCAATGATTTGCTCCGACTACACTTAATATCTCTAGGGTGCTTAACAAAGTTGAAAATTTTCAACAGATATTACCGGTTTTCTATTTCTTTTATTTTGGTTGAACGCCTCAAGAAGAAACTTAACGAATAACAAATACTTCAGTACAGACAATTACCTCAGCTTCAGATTTTTCTGACAGGGATTGACCAGCCTCCTGCTTCAGTTCTTTTTGGGATTTCCGGAGAGACTTGACCTCTTTAACTGGAACTTTAATATCTGCTTTTGATTTTTGCCTCTAGTTCTTCGTATCCCTTTGATACATCATTCAGCTGCTCCTTAGTAGCATTTAACTCTTGCAGCATTGCATCTTTCTCCTCAGCAGCAGATTGGTTGATTGTCTCTGTTATTTGCTTCTCATCCTGTCAAGTTTTATTGTCCTTTAGTGAAGCGTTAAACATTAAACATTACAAGAACATTTAACCAGCAACGAGATAACATTTGTGATGCTTGTCCAAGAGAAAGCAGCGGTGGTTAATTTTTCGAAAAATTGAGAAACAAATTACGGAACATTGAATACAACTTCAACAACCAGGTTCGTTTCCAAAAACTAGTTTTGGCTTTTACCTTATGGGGCGTGTGAGGGGTAGGGGGTTAAGTTATTACTGAAAAAAGGAATCAAGGAACTAGAAACATACAGTCATCGGTTATAAGCAATGCCTCTCCAAGCATAATTTATCTTGCCAAGTTCATCTTTTTCCTTAATTGAGAAAAAAATATTTGCAGATGGCATCCATATCACGCAAGTGACAATAACGAAGGAAAACAAATTTCAATAATAAAGTGGAGTTGAATGCATTACCCGTTTAGGATTCAATTTCGAAGGTCTTCCATTTCCCACTGCATTTGAGTAAACCTTTCTCTTTCAAGCAGGATAGCTTGCTGCAGGTTTTCTTTACTTTTTTGTTTGGTGTTTTCGAGTTCCACTTCCAGATCCTTAACCTGAGCATCTCCAATTTGTTAATTCAGTTCAACCTCAAGATTGCTAATATTTTACTAAGAATAAGTCTCATTCCACCTCTAGTGGGACAATAAGCGCCCAAAGATAAAATGCATTAGAAAATGAAATGAAATGATTGATAAAACATTTGACATTCGGAAGAGAATACTAGAAAATGCAATAATGATTGTGTTAGGTATGACTCATAAATATACAGGTAAATAAGACAGAGGATAGAGCGGAGTGAGCGAAGCGAACATTATTTGTCTGTCCTTACAAAGAAAGTCTCGTAGTGGGAATTACGATTATGTGGGTTGGGGGTTATTTTTGTAAATATGTACCAGGATTTATTTATTATAAAAGGAGATGTAACTTAAACATATGAGATATTGAATGAAAAACTAGCGCCGCCTAAGGCACCGAGGACGTAAACACATTGCTGAACCTCGTTAAAATTTTTGTGTTCTTTCTGTTTTCTTTACCCGATTATTCAACAGATTGATACGTACAAAAACCAAATGCTAACCATATAAAAGTTGCCACTTTGCACACAATTCATCCGAGTGTTGATCAAACAAAGGATGTAATTGAAAGAAAGGGAAACCAATTAGGGAAATATAAGTAGTAAGCTTGAGCTATGCAGCCAAAAGTCCCTGAATACTGATAATATCTCAATAATAATGATACAAAACTATTTAAATTATGAAAGCTTTCAAAATTTATCTCCGAAAGCATATCAAACTGCTTCCACACACCTTTGTCATAAGATAACCTTTCACTGCTATTTCTTGATTCAATCTGCCCATAAGATCCTCCATGTCAGTTTCTGCAGTGACTAGTCTCCTCTTCATGGTTAGAAGAACACTGTTCATCTTATGACGCTGGTCCAATGGAAGAACTATCTGTGTAACTCCAGAAGACGGAGGATCAGAATTTCCAGAAAGGTCATGAGAGCCATTAAAAGATGAATTTGGAATCCCATAAATGGACATGTCGCTGCCTCTCAAAGAACTTACACCACTTCCAACACTTTCAGTTGATAAGTTCCGAGTATGACCGGCCACCTTATCTGGCTCTATCTCAGAGAAGAGTTCCAGTCCATTACCGGCAATAAGTGAAGATCTGGACCCGTTTCCATTATATACGTCTTTCTCTAAACTATCATTCATGTTTATGGCGTGTGATTTATGCCTATGAAAATCTTCTAGCTGCTCCAAAATTGCTTGTCCCATGAATAGTCCCTCATCAATATTGGAAATACCATACTTCACAAGTTTTTCTATTGAACCTGTTAAATCTTCATCCACTGTCAGGTCTCCTGAACCAATTTCTGAACTGTCATCTCTTCCTAATCCAAGTGTCACAAGCTCAGATGTCTCATAAGGAGAATCACTACCGTAATCTGATGTGATTGATGAATTGCCAGCAAAATGACATATAGCTGAATTGGGAGGAACATTATTTGATGAAATTGTGCTATTTTCAGCAATATTAGCTTTGGAAGAGCATTCATTTAAATCTTGGACTGCTGAAAAGAATAAGAAACGTAAAAACTCCAAGCTAATGATAAAACTAATCTTGATTATGGATAATATATATCAATACACACATATAGAGGGTCAATTAGACAACCTATAATTTTAGATTCCATTAGACATCTATTTTTACAAGATAATATAACTAAGTCCTAAAGTTCTGCTAATGAAGTAAAATTGCACATACAAGACCTCGCAGCAACTTCTAGTTCAAGAAAGGATGCTACTGTGACACTTCTGGACAAGTCAATGTCAGATAACAGCTTCGTCATCCACTCCTCCAATGAACACCTTCTCTGCAAAAAATCTAAGCTGCTTTATTTAGTTGTCTAAATAATACATGAGAATGACTTTTCAGTGTAGAAGTTCAATATTTTCCCCTAGAACAGATACTTGTCAACTAAAATCTGTCATCAATGTTAGGTTTGTTAGTCAGTAGGAAACTATAGATAACAAAGCTAGTAGTGCCAATTAAAGAAGGAAAATGAGAGCAATAATAGACCGTGGCACATTTTCCAGATGATAAAGAGAAGGAAAACAAGTGAAGCGGAAAAACTACTTGCCTACCTCTTCCAACGGAGCCCCCTTGGGTGGAGCAGGGGGAAGATTCTTCTTCAACTGTAGAGGGAAGTCAATAACAATAAAGAGGGCCTTGGAAAACATTGCTAAAGTGATATACCGATTAAACCAACAATAAATGGGCATAAAATAAATAAAATAAGGGTAAAGTATATAAATAGTCCCCAAATTTTTATGATGCTTGCATTTTGGTCACTTAACTTTTGAAACTTGTAATACAATCATCAAACTTTTTGTTTGTTTTCATTTTAGTCACTGTCTTTACCTCCCATGACGTGGCACTTAACCCCATTAAACCATCTTATTCTTCTTCTTCTTCTTCTTCTTCTTCTTCTTCTTCTTCTCTCATTCTTGCTCACCCCCCGTCACCTGTGTCACCTCCCAACCACACCTCTACCGTCGATTCATTCTCACTGTTCACCGTTCGTCCCAAATTGTAAGAAGACTATTCAAACACCCATCCTCAATCTTCGTCGTCGGTCTCTGGTGACTCACTGTCGGTACTAGTAGGAGAGCCGCCCCATTCTGACCAAAACCTCACTAGTCATTTGTCGAGACTCACCTCCGTTCGCCGTGTAGAAGGTCTCGAAACTCATTGAAAAACCCCAATTCCCTTTTGTTTTCATCATTTTTAGACTGATTGGGCTCTTCATTCGCCACACCGTCCTCACATCGTTCCGACCAAAACCCAGTCGGTCGTGCCTCATCGCCATCATTCCTCCTCTGTCCGTTGTTGGTTGAAAACATGAAAGAGGCATTGAGGTCTTCTCGCGATTTGGGTTTAACGAGGTTAAGTTCCACATCAGCAAAAGCTAACGGAGTTAATGACAGTGACAAAAAATGAAAACGGACTGAAAGTTTGATGACTGCATTGGAAGTTTCAAAAGTTGGGTGACTAAAATGTAAAATGCCTTAATAGTTTGGGGACTATTTATATACTTTACCCATAAAATATAAACATATGATAATAAATTCATCTGTGACGATCAATCAATCAAATCAACTACAAATAATAAATGAGCATAAAAGAGTAAAAATATTACAGCATAAACAAAACAAATCTAGAAAAGAGAGAAGAAGAAATAAAGTTAATTAATTTTAATTTACAAATTAACATAATACAACTACTCGATTGATTAATAAAATAAAATAAGAAACAATTAATCTAAATTTACTGTATAGAAATTAATAAAAAATAGTAACTATCAACACAATTATCTGAAATTTGGTATTTAAAAAAAAATAAACCAACTCTAATAAAGAACATTGTAAGCGCCGTGTTTCATGGCAGCCCACCTTGTACCATATTGAGTCAACCCTGGTCAGTATAATGCTCAAACTTTATCGAATTTTTTCATCAGAAATAGAAAAACCCCGCGATGGAGCGCACTCGTGGGACTCCACTAACGACCTTTATAAGGCAACTGACTTATCACATTCCATTCCTACCTGAAAAATAAATTTTAACAATTTAGTCCTTCTTATTTTTTTAAAGTATTTTTTTCTGTATTTATACTCAGTTGCATAGATCAAAGTGGTGCTAGAAAAGACTGAATCGCCTACAAGTTTCCTTTTGTCATTCGACTCAGGTGAACCTTTGAAGAGTCTTTCTTTTTCTTTTATATTTCCACTTTAGTTTTTCTTTGATTTTTTTTTCATCCTCTTTGAGCTAAAAGTAAAGTCTCCTATTGGTGAAGATTAGGTTTTTGATTAAATTGCTTGGTGTTTTCGATCTAATCTCGATCATTTCGGTAATTCGGAACTAGATCAGCTATTTCTTTGCTTTTTTATGGTTGTCTCTGCTTTATGCACGACTGTTTTGATTGTCAAATCGAATCTTATGTTACTGTTTGGTAATTGAGAAAATTGATGAATCAAGCTGTTGATTTTATTCATGTTTTGTCAATGATCAGTCTCGATTCTTGATCTCTTTTACTTAGAATCAGTGGAGAGGTTATGCGAGCATTACTCTGTCAAAGTTGTACGCTTGGATTCACTTGAATTTTGAATTCTTCAAATCAAATCAAACTGAACTGAGCTCTGTTTTGTGGATACTACCAAAAGGTATTCACACTGATTATATATACGTGGAAAGTTATATGTTAATCGTAATTAAATTGACACTCTCCTACAAAGGAATCTAAGATGTTTTCTTTTTCCTTATCGAATTTATTCTTTTTCTCCTTCTTTTGCCAAATTCACTCATGTGAATACTTGCTGAAGTTTCAGAGAGGAGGAATGGGTTCTGAGAAGAGGTCAACTCTCAATAAGGAACTCCTTTTCTTAATCTTACAGTTCTGCAACGATGAAGGATATAAAAAAACAGCTCATATGTAAGCATCAGTTCGTCATGTTATCAAATACAAGTGTTTTACTTCTATATCTTCTGTTCTGATGCTTTTAACTGATTTGATTTGTAGGTTGGAGCAAGAAAGTGGATGTTGCTTTGACATGGTGTTTTTTGAAGATTTGGTGCTGAATGGAAAGTGGAACATGGTTGAGGAATATCTTTCTGGTTTCACAAGTATCAACGACAACAAGTACTCTACGAAGATTTATTTTGAAATCAGAAAGCTGAATTTCCTTGAGGCATTGGACAAGTGAGCCATTTTGGTTTAATCTAAACGCTAACATCTTCATGCAATTTTATCTGTCTAGCTTTTATTTTACATGAAATTGGTGGATTGTTGCACAGCAATGATCGTGCAAAGGCCTTGGATATCCTGAGGAAGGACTTGAAGGTTTTTGCTGAGGAAAACGAGGAGTTATTTAGAGAAATGACCCAGCTTTTAACATTAGATAATTTAAGGTACATGGTTCATACTACTTGATTTCAGTTTTTTTCTTCTTAATATTAGCCCGATGAAATGAGGTAGTTAAAAGGTCCAACTGGTGTAACAGGGAACATGAGTTGCTCTCTACGTATGAAGATGCAGAGTCTTCAAGGAAAATTTTGATGAGTGAACTCAAGAAACTAATTGAGCTGAATCCAATTTTCCATGGAAAGCTGAAATTTCCTGTCATCAACAGCCAAAGGTTGCGACGTCTCATTAATCAAAGGTAGCAGCTTTTCTCTCAATTTGTTGGTTTGCCTTCTATATATTTCATTTTGTCTGAGTAAAAACTTAATTCCAGGCAACTCTTCAATTGTGTGTATTGAAATTGCTTCTCAAATCTCTCTTCTGTAGCTTCAGCATCTACTGAATTTTTCTTTATTACTATACTTACAGAAATAATTTTTCCTTGTGATCTGACAGCCTGAACTGGCAGCATATTCAATGTAAATATCCTCAGCCAAATCCTGATATAGAAACCCTCTTTGAGGATCATGTTTGTCAATGGCCACAGAATCATTTGTTGATGCAATCAACTGACAATCTACTGGTAAGGAAAGGGGAGATTTTTTTCTTTCGGTTTCCTTCCCAACAATTAAAAGGACAGCGGTTATCTATATTATGATACTTATGGAGCTTGAAAATTTCATGTTTAGCAAGATGCATCACTGCCAGTTTTCCCATCCGGCTGGTTTTCTGGTCCATCTACTGTAACTCATGCTGTTTCTGGAGAAGACATCTGTATCAGTGGTCCAATATCATCAGGTAGTGGTTATGGTAATTGTATTGATGTTCTGCCAGATCTCAGAATCAAGGTGATTTAATGTATTCATTCTGAACATCTAACTTTTCCTTACCTTGATTGTCACCTATTTGGTAACTACAACATCAGATAATATTGGGGATTGCCATGCCATGCCTCAGAAGAGCCTACTGGGAGCTGAATATGAGGTAATGACGGCCAGGTTTACTACAGCTTTACTTTTCGCTGCAAATCTAAAATTATTCATTTACCTTGATGCTCAGGTCACATCTACTGTTATTCATCCTGGTCGAAATCACAGCCCTGAATCCAGTGTTTCTGATGAATTGCCGATTACCTCCATGAATAATGGCATGCCTGAACGTATTGAACCAATCAACAATACCAACCTGCCCAAGACTGTTGCAAAGATATTGACTGAGCTATCTTCTCCAATGAGCATGGATTTTCATCCTGAAGAGCAGACTTTTCTTCTGGGTTAGTAGCCCTGCATGTCCTCCTCCTATGTGCTTGTCAAATTTATAGACATTATTTGATTGAATAATCTATCTTGAATGATGTATACCTATTACTTTTAACTCTTTCAGTTGGAACCAATGTTGGGGACATAGGATTATGGGATGTTAATTCAGGGGTAAAAATGCTTTCAAGAAATTTTACGGTTTGGAATGTTGGAGCATGCACCATGGTGTTCAAGGTTTGTCCATTGGAGAAATTTATTTACATATCTTTAAAAGAAATGTTTTGTTACTTGCATCATATTAAACCTTAGAACATATTTAAATATATGCAGGCAGCCATGATGAAAGATCCTTGTATGTCTGTTAATCGTGTTGCTTGGAGTCCAAATGGTTCTTTCTTTGGTAAGTTAAAATTATTATTGGAAAACTTCATTCAGAATAATATACAATGATTCTCGGATATTGTTTTAATCATACAAGGATTTTTTTCTCTGCTTCAAAATAGGGGTTGCTTATTCAAAACATATTGTGCAATTATATTCCTACCATGGTGGCACTGATGTTCAGCAGAAGTTGGAGGTAGCTTCATGTTTTTTATCTGATTTTACAAATATTAATTTCAATGGTCTGTATCTGATGTAAACTCTTCTACTTTCTTGTAAAATTTAGATTGATGCTCATGTTGGTGGTGTTAATGATTTAGCATTTGCCACACCTAGCAAGCAACATCTGGTCATAACCGGTGGTGATGACAAGCTAATTAAGGTTGTTTTTTAAATATCTCTCTCTTGAATAGAAAAATTTCAACATGGAGAAAGTGATCCATCAACTAGCTGATTTTCCTTTTTCTAGGTATGGGATGTGATCACTGGAGAACAGATGCATAATTTAGAAGGCCATGAAGCTTCTGTTTATTCTCTTTTGCCTCACTGCAAGGATGGTATCCATGTAAGAGTTGCTTTTGATTTACTATACTGATAATGTGTGGCATTTTAGATCTATCTTGTTTGTTGGTGATCATATAAGAATTTTTTTTTTTACTTTTTCCGCCAGTTTATCTTTTCAACATCAGTGGATGGCAAGATAAAAGCATGGTTATATGACAACATGGGAGCCAGAGTTCATATGGATGCACCAGGTCTGGCATGCACAACAATGGCATACAGTGCTGATAATACAAGGTTAGATTTGTTTTACATGAACAATGACATTCATGATATAAAATGTTATTTTTTTTCCCCAAATGATAGATGCGCTAAACTTTTGGTGTTTTGAATGGATTCTTTCACAGGCTGTTTTCATGTGGGACTAATAAAAATGGAGAGTCTTTCCTAGTTGAATGGAATGAAAGTGAAGGTGATGCAAAAAGAACCTACCAAGGCCTTTGCAAAAATTCTTCAGCTGTTGTGCAGTTTAGTCCAATTAAGGAGAAGTTCTTGGCAGCAGCTGATGACCATGTTTTTAAAATATGGGATATGGATAAGGTTGAGCATTTGACAACTATCAATGTAGGAGACTTACCAGTAAGTTCTTTACTATTTCAATCTTCTTTAGAGATGTTACGCAGAGAAAGTCTCAACATTTTGGGTTGATAATTACATTTATGTTGGAGTTATTTCACTATAACATATATAAAGGATAGTCTAAGTTAGATATCTACTTTTCGAATTTGAAGGCAAATCCACATATACGATTCAATAAGGATGGCACCTTGCTGGCTGTTATAGCGAACCAAAACAAAATCAAGATCTTGGCAACAGCTGATGGTCTTCAGTTGCTGAATGCATCACCAACTGTTTTTGTTGATTTCTCCACAGATGTCTCTGATGCTCCAAGAAAGGTCTGCATTTTAGTTATTATCCTACTGTAGAAATAGGGTTTGCTAGAAGAAAAAGCTGTTATTTTATTCTATTTTCCGTTAAAAAAATATGAGAATACAACAACGGTTATATACAAGTAGTAGACGTCAGTCCTAGATAAGTTAGAAGTTATATTTTCTAAAAACTAGGATACTAGAGTTAGAGATAAGGTAGGAAACTAATATTTAATTATAAACGTAACACAACTCACACCCCCTCAAGCTGGGGAGTAAATATTGTAAAGACCCAACTTGGATATAATTTCGTCGAAAGTAATCCTCGGAAGGGCCTTGGTCAAGACATCAGCTAGCTGATTTTGTGAAGAGACAATTTAGTTTCACTGTTCCAACATTCACTTTCTCTGCAATAAAGTGTCTGTCAATCTCCACATGTTTTGTTCTGCGTGATATACTGGATTTTTAGCAATACTTATTGTTGTTTACCGTCACTCTGAAGCTCAAAGTGGTTATTGTCGCACATCTCTAGTTCGGTTAAGAGCCTTTGTAACCAAACACCTTCACAGATCCTAAGTGCTATAGCCCGATATTCTGCATCTACATTGCTCCTGGAAACTACGACTTGTTTCTTGCTTCTCCAAGTCACCAAGTTTCCCCAAACAAACGAACAATAACCCGTAGTTGACCTTCTATAAGTTAATTCTCCAACTCAGCTCGAATATGAGAAAATCTTTATTGTTTTATCTTCATGTTTTCTGAAAATCGACCCATGTCCCGGTGTCATCTTTAAATATCTCAAAATTCGATTTACTGCCTCCAAATGTTCTCCTCTAGGATCATTCATGTATTGGCTCACAATGCTAATGGAAAAGGTGATGTCTGACTTAATTAGAGATAGATAGATAAGCTTACCCACTAACCTTTGATACCGTTCCTTGTTTATCGGATTCTCATATTTTCTTAACTTTAGATTCACTTCCATGGGAGTTTCCGAGGGCTTGCAACCGGTCATTCCAATCTCAGAGAGTAAGTCTAGAATGTACTTTCTTTGATTTATGGCAATTTCTTCTCTTGATCTTGCCACTTTCATGCCTAGAAAATATCTCAAGGTCCCTAAGTCCTTGGTTTTGAATTCCTTTGCTAGTAACATCTTAAATTTCTCGATTTCTACTAAGCATCACCCATGATGATGATGGCATCAGCGTAGACAATCAAGATCGCCTTTTTCTTGTCTGGACCAGTTTTTACAAACAGAGTGTGATCAGACTAACATTGTTTATAGTTGTCTTGAAAAAGTACCTTCGTGAATCTGTCAAACCAAGCCCGAGGAGATTGTTTTAGACCATATAAAGATTTCAACAACTTGCATACTCGCTGATTTCCATATTGAATTTTTACTCATGGTGGAACTTGCATATAGACCTCTTCTTCAAGATTGTCGTTGAGGAATGCAGTTTTGACATCTAGCTGATGAAGTACCCAATCCTTATTTATGGCTAAGGATAATAATGTAATACCCCGAATCATGGGTCAATAGTTCAGGTCAACCTGAGACCGTAAGTCGAGCCCATTAGACTTCCAAGATCAGTTTGGACCAGTTTATAATAATGTTGGGCTTAAGGTGGGCCTAAGAGTTGTAGCTAAGGGGGTGATTTTAGAATAGGTTTTAAAGGAGAGGGACCAAAAGTATAGTTTACCTATTTCTAAAATTAAAGGATAAAAACCCCTTATTTAAAGGGATTTCACGTGAAACCCTTACCCAAAAATATCTCTTCCATTTTCTTCTTCTCTTCTCTCTTCTGTAGTAAGCAAAGGTAGAAGTTTTAAGAATTCCAAGCCTAGTTTGAAGCAATCAAGGTAAGAACCTTAATCTCCATCTCTTAAGCTTCATTTAGAGCCCTTAATCTCAAGTTTTGGTTAAGATTTCCAAAAATGGTTTTTAGGGAGGTTAAGGGATTCAAGTTTAATTTAGTAAATTTGAGTTGTTTGAAGTATCCTTAACCTTGTTTTAAGCCTTAGATAAGTTAATAATTCCTTTAATTACCTTTGATTAGCTAAAAAGGTGGGAGAAAGTTCAAAAGCTAGAGGTAAAGAGAGTGAATTTTGAGTTGATTCAAGAGGAGTTCTAGCAACCTAGAAAGCCAGGTAACACACTCACAACTTTACCATACCAGTTGTAGATCATTAGAAATAAGTTTTAGCTAGAAAGTTAAGATTTAAGCATATTGAGTATAATTCTATGGTAGATTCTTTATTAATGTTATTTTAGCATGTTTTAAGCCTTATTTATGATACCTATAAGCACATAAGACTTAAAAACTAATTGGGAAACCTTAAGGTTGGAAATTTGGAGAGTTTAAGAGGAAAATTCATGCCTAAATAAGGTATTTTTAGGGTTGTAAGCAGTATCAATACTGTTCATGAGGAAAGTATGAAATCGAGGGTTTTTGAAGAAAAATTTCGATACATTTACATGAGTATTGACACTGTATCGAGATCGAAGGGTTCGATATTGAGACTGGGATTCCAGTAGGCTATTTTGGTATTGGTACTCTAGGGAGTATCGATACCCACATTTTTGTATTGGTACTCTAGGGAGTATCGATACCCAGGGTCCTAGTATCGATACTCGCATATGAGTGTCCCTCTTTCTTTCAATACATTTCAGCTGAGGTATTGATACCTTGGGTTGGGTATCGATATTGAGGTGGGGGCATCGATACTGTAAGGTCAGTATCGATACCAAGGTTAAGAATTGAGCTTTAATTCCAAGAGAATTATAGAATCATGTGAGGTTTCCCAAAAGCTTATAATTACTTCTAATTAAGACTACAAGTGAGAACGGTAATAATGATTAATTTAAACGTAGAAATAAGAATAATTAGGATCAAATATGACTAGTCTTGCTTGAATGCTTGGGAAACGATCTGGACACCCGAATTCCTTTAGAAAAACTAGTAGAGTCGAAAGTATAAATTTAGTCCAGATATATCCTTAGGGAGTGCGCAAGGCACTTTAAGCTGACTAAGGCCAAGACCTGACACTTGCAAAGGGTGAGTTAGTCGAGGGTGTGGTGTCCGATGCAGAGATTCCAAAGGCCTCATTCTATGTAGAATAGAGGGTGTTTGAGCTCCAAAATGCAGAACCTTTAGCCGCACTACGATGTCTATCATAGAGTAGAGAGTGAGTATACAAGTATACTCACTAAAGCAAAGCAATAGACTTGATAGCTTGAGCCTTTTAGTGATATACAATTAGTATGAATTAGTTGTTAGTGTGGCACTGAGCTAGTTAGCTCAGCGTTTGGAATTTGTTTCCTTACGCAGATTATATGGAGCAGTCAAGGAGACTTAAAGAGACCAATGTCCAGACCCAGAGCAGACCAAAGTACGTCTCAAATTTTTTAAGGGCATGAATATTTATAAACCCTGTTGTAAAGTTGAGTCGTAGATGTATTTTAAAGTCGATCTATATTATTATTTTTTAATGTAAATATTATTTTGGGAGCTCCCCAACATATAGTTTTCATTATATTTTTACAGTTGAATTTATAAAGAAAATAGTTGTTTTAAAGCAAGAGAAATAAGAAAAAGTTGGTCAGCCACTCCAGTGGTTCCGTGTATCACCCTAATTGGTCGACTGTGTGTCGTACTAGTTTAGGGTGTTACATTTAGTACTTGTATTGAATTGAGTTTTGCAACCAGGGAAAATGCCTCTTGATAGTCTACTCCATGAGTCTGAGTGAACCCCTTTACCACAAGTCCAGCCTTATACTGCTCAACACTGCCATATGCCTTGTATTTCACAGTAAAGACCCATTTGCAACCAACTGATTTCTTGTCTTTAGGAAGAAAGACAATAACCCAGGTTTTGTTGTTTCAAGGGCCGAAAGATCTTCCTCTACTGCTTGCTTCCACTCAGGACTTTTTAATGCTTCTTTTATGGTCTCTGAAATGCTAATATTGTCAACCTGAGTTGTAAATATCTTAAAAAAGGCATTAATTTATCATAAGCGACAAATTTATTGATAGGATGAGTACATCGCCGTACTCCCTTTTCTTTGAGCAATCGGTAACTCACTAATACAAATCATCACATCCAAATTACTCTGATCATCTCCTTCGCTTGTAATGGAATTTAAAATTGGTTCCGGCTCTTGACAATGCATAGGTTGCGTAGTGGTCTGTGGGACATGTTTGGGTCTTCGTTTGTAGGTAAGATCGGTTTGGGAAATAAGGGTTGTCATAGATGGTCTTGATGTTTTTGGAGATTCAACTTGATTAACGGTCTGGTTTTCAACATCGAATGTGGTGGTATTAAGTGGCAGTTTAGTGATGTCAAGTGATGGTTAAGTAGTGGTAGGTTCAGTAGGAGATAGATTAATGTGTAGTTCTGTATTAATCGAAAAAAATTGAAATTCATACTCACTCTCCCTCTGATTTCAATTTTTGAGAAGAACGATTTATGTTCTTGGAATGTAACATCCATAAAAGTGAAGAACTTTTTGGTAGAAGGAGAGTAGCATCGATAACCTTTCTGAGGAGACGAGTACCCAACAAAGACACACCGATTTGCTCGAGGATCGAGCTTAGAATTAGTGTGGTTATGATCATGGACAAAATCTATACAACTAAAGACACGAAGAGGAACATATGTGGTGAAAGGTTTGAAATGAGAAAAAAATTGTGAAAGAATATCCCGGGGGACACTTAAATGAAAGAACTTTACTAGGCATACGATTAATGAGATAAGTGGCGGTTAAGAGGGCTTCACCCCAAAGGTATTTAGGAACATGAGTAGAAACAAGAAGTGCCCGAGTTACCTCAAGAAGATGATGATTTTTACGTTCGGCGACCCCATTTTTTAGGGGTATCGACACAAGAAGTGAGATGGACAATTCATTTTTCCTGAGAGAAAGAACCCAACGAGTGAGAAATATTCACTACCATTATCAAACTTAAAGATGTCAATAAAACTATGAAATTGGTTCTCAATCGTTTTATGGAAGCGTTTAAAAATATCAACAACCTCAGATTTATCTCTCATGAGAAAAGTCCATGTAGCACGAGAATAGTCATCAATAAAAGAAAAAAAACCAACGAACCTCATTTAAGCCTTTGACACGAGAAAGTTTGGGAAATATCACAAGAAAAAGATGTTGGATTTTTATGAATGAAAAGTTTGGGAAACATATTTGCAAGATAATTAAAACTAGGATGACCTAACCTAAAATGCCACAAAACAATTTCAACAGTCGCATCATTAGGGGATATGGAAACAAATGAAGACACAATATGAGGGTTTACTTGGGTTGGAACAGGAGGAGAGGCTTCAAGGATGTAAAGTCCACCATGACGCCTAGCATTGCCAATCACCGTCCCTAAGTTGAAATCCTGAAATTCACAAATATCAGAGTTAAAATGAGAAAGTGCAACGCAAATCTGCATACAATTTACTAACCGAAAGAAGATTGCAAGCCAAATTTGGAACTTAGAGAACATCAGATAAGACAATTTGGTGATTAATTTGAATCGAGCCACTGCCCACAATAGTCAAAAGGGAACCATCGGTTGTTCGGACACTACAGGAGGAAACGGCTTTATGAAAACTTTGAAAGAGATTGAGATCGCCTGTCATATGGTCATTCGCACCCGAATCAACAATCCAAGAAACAAAACCAGGCAAAGAAGATAACATAACAAAGTCGGGACTACCTTCTCGGACAGCACAAGCGTGTATGGTCTCGGAAGTAGACTGGAATTGACTGGATTTCTTTGCTTTTTTTTATTTACGAGGTAGGAGTTGCGATTGCAACTTTGTATGCTTCTTAGGAACTCGTCCAACTGAATTTTGCTTCAATGAAAGGTCAGGTTTAGTGCAGTGTTTACTCATTAGGGAAACTAATGGAACATGCTGTGGCTGATAGTCTGCTTTCACATCAATCTTAATCTCATATAATGATGATTCGGCAGAATATTTTTTTCCAGGGAAATCTGTTGTCTGATATCTGGGGTTTACAGTATAGCGGGACTGACGGTATGGAAGCGACCTTTGAGGGTTCACGGAACCATCAGGGGGTACTTTTGCTTCCATTATTGTGGCCGAGGGAAGGCAATAAAGGATATAACCTAAACTGATACCATGTAGAAATAGGGTTTGCTGGATGAAAAAGCTTATTTTATTCTGTTTTCCGTTAAAAGTAAGAGGATACAACAAGGGTTATTTACAAGTAGTAGATGAGAGTCCTAGATAAGTTAGAAGTTATCTTTTCTAAAAACTAGAATACTAGAGTTAGAGATAAGGTAGGAAACTAATATTTAATTATAAACGTAACACAACTCACACCTACTGCTTTTGGTAGATATTCTCATTTCCTGATTATTTCTGTTTGATTTAGCATGTAATAAATCCAAGTTCAAGTGTTGCTAATTCTGGTGAAGCTGATGATTGCCATGTCTCAACCGTGAGTAATCATGAACTTGAATTTTTCTTCTTCTTCAAGGATTCATGCCGTCACATTATGAAAATTATCCATTTCTGTTGGAAAATATGTCCTATGCTAACTCATCAGCCTTCCAGCAGAATTTTGATAAGGAAAGGATAAAGGATGTGAAAAACAAAATTATCGATAAATCCAATAACAATTCAGATGTTAGTAAGATCATCCAAATCAGCATGCCTTCTCAGTGCAAGTCCTTGCTACTCAGTGTTTATGGGGAAGCAGATAAGGTAAATACCCTCATTAAGAAGTGGTTTGAGAAGGATTTTACAAGTTCAAATATATTTGCTCTTAATTCATTTTATGCTTCATCTGGGATAATATCAAGTTCAAACTAGAGTAATTTTATGATAAACTCTTTCTCTGACAATTGCAGATATCAAGGTTGATATACACCAATGCAGGTAATGCTATTTTGGCATTAGCTTCAAATGCCACTCATTTGCTTTGGAAATGGCCTCGGAATGACCTTAATTTGAGTGGAAAGGTAAGAAAGAACCAATTAGTACTTAAATTTTTCAGCTTTCAGTTCCTTCATCAGTTGGAAATTCGGAAATGATTTTTTTTAAACATTCAATGTAGGCTACAACCGATGTACCCCCTCAACTGTGGCAACCGAAAAGCGGCCCACAAAGAATGATCAATGATATTACTGGCATCACGCCTGAAGAGGCTGTGCCTTTCTTCGCTTTGTCAAAGAATGAATCATATCTGTTGTCAACATCAGGGGGGAGAATTTCTCTATTCAACATGCTGACGTTTAAGGTTACTTTCCAATCTCTTCCAAGCAACAGTTTGTTAAAGTTTATATCAAATACATGTGATTAACAGTCCACGGGAGATAATTTCACAAGATTAGATTCATGTTTCTGCTTCTGCATGCAAGTTTTAGGTTTCCTATTGACCTTTCTCATTATTTTCTTGAGCACAGATAATGATGAATTTCATGCCACCACCACCTGCGGCAACAAGTCTAGCTTTCCATCCTCAAGATAACAACATAGTTGCTGTTGGAATGACCGACTCCACTATATTGATTTACAATGTCCGTGTCGATAAGGCATGTGTCTCCCCAATAAACAACAGTGTATATACACATATATATAGTTATCTGAAATATAATGTTTTGAAGAGGCATTCAGAGACTAGATAGTTGTTTTTCATTCACGCAGGTTAAAAGCAAGCTCAAGGGTCATTCTGGAAGAGTCACGGGGCTTGCTTTCTCTACTTCCATGAATCTGCTTGTTTCTTCTGGAGCAGATGCTCAGGTTGGTTTTTAATACGTTATAACCATCTCCCTATGGTCTATCGAGAAATTCATAATTCGTGTTTTTCATTTTCTCCAACTGCAGATTTTCACATGGAATCTTGACGGATGGGGGAATTGTAAAAGCAAACTCTTGCAGTTCCCCAATGAGAGAATCCCAGTAATGGGTTCAAATACCATGGTCCAGTTTCATCAGGATCAAGTACACTTCATCGTTGTGCATGAAACTCAGCTTTCAATTTATGAAGCGAAAGAATTAGAATGTGTACACCAGGTTCCTCTTCCTCTCATCTAAGCTTTCTTCTTGTTAGTATGCTAGCAGAATGTTCAATCTTCTCTTTTTGTTTTCTCAGTGGGTTCCTGAAGATTCTACAAGAATCTCGCAAGCAACATTCTCATGCGATAGCCAGATGGTGTATGCCTGCTTTGTAGATGGGAAAGTGGCGATATTTGGAGCTTCAGATCTCGAATTAAAATGCCAGATCCTTCCCACTTCGTATATTCCTCCCAGTGCAAGGTATGTCCACATGGTTCATGCAGCAATTGCACAGCCTTCCCTTTTTTTCTTTCTGAATTCCTATTTTTAACACATTTTAAATGTCAGGACACAATACGATTATGACACAAAAAGATATGAGAAGATAACTAAAATTTGACAGAAAATACGAAAAAAATAATGGGAATACGCTATTAATATACAAAATATGTTAAACTCTGTAAAATATAAGGTTATCAATGCATGTTAACTAGAACTGATTTCTCAGTAGCTTTTCTGATTATTACCGATGGTGGTTGCACAGATCAAATGCGTACCCCCATGCCATAGCTGCACATCCGCAGAAACCAACCCAATTTGCAGTGGGACTGACAGATGGCGCGATTATCGTTTTAGAGCCTCATAAACCTGGTGTTTCGTGGTATTTGGCTGAATACGAGTCTGTAACTGCAAGAAGCTGCTTGGTTCAAGACGATTAAAACCAAGTGAAATATCTTACACATTATATGTGTCATAGATTTGACAATCTCCATACATATATATTTTGTTGTTTGTGATTATTTGTCTGTCTTAGATTTGACAAATATTATTATATAGGGTAAACTACGCCAATAGTTACTTATGTTTGGGACAGTGTTCATCTCCGATTCAAGTTTCATATACAGTATACACAACCAATAATGTTTTCCTTTCTTTCTTTTTTATGTTCTTCAAAAATAACTCTTAACCATTTGACATTGAATATTTGTGTCCCTAACGATCTTGGTGTTCGAACCCAAAACCCCAAAAAATAATAATAATTTCTTTAATCGCTTGGTCCGTGCACAACCAATAAAGTTATATGTTGATAAATGGAGCAAATGTGGATAAAAATTAGTTTGTTTTAAAGTAGTATATTTTTCATTAATCATTGACTGTAAAAGTAATTATACAATTTAAGATCTCAAGAGAAAATAATATTTTTTTAACTATATGTCACTTGAGGAATTCAATTAATTATAAGACTTTATACTTCGATTGAAACTTTAGTTTATATATTGGTCGTAATTTTCAATCAGAATATTAGTATTTTATATATAAAATATTACAAATTAAACGATTTGGTTCATTTAATCACCGACAACTGGACAAATTTTCTAATTCCCATGAATTAATCGACCAAAATCTGGTGAATTAAAGTTGATGAACTAGTTTTTTAGTTCTAATAAAAGGTACTTAATTCAAAATTATACCATTTTGGTAACACGTGTTAACTACTCTATTTATAAGTGACAAGGGAGAGATTGTCCATTAATGCATCACAGATTTAATCAACAAAAAACACTCAACTCTATCATATCATTCATCATCATGAAAGGCATTAGGAATCCAATTTCATCATTAAAAGCAAAGAATAATAGAACAGGTCAGAGAGAAAAAAAGCCTTAAAAGAAGGCTTTCAAGCATATCTGCAACCAAATGTGAACGCTTTATATGCCATTTCTGCTTCAAATTCAAACTCTACATTACAATACTGGAGAAGAAGCTATTATAATGATGTTCTAGCATGACTGTAAGCAAACTATGCAGAATTTTATTGCACTGTACACTCACTACCACACCCAAAATAAAAAAAAAGTTAACAAAAATCATAAAATTACACTAGTATAATTTCCTATACTTCCCTAAAACTATTGCATCAGTCAGCATATTGCAACCAATGCACACCTGCAAACAACGTCCACGGGTTTCATCGGCTGCGACCACCACCACAACATCGTGTAAATTAATTAGCCCTTATCTTCATGTAACCCTATACTGTTGTGAAACTTTCTATGTAGCGTGTTCGTTTCGCCGCCGCGATTGATATCCAGTCGAGAAGATGGTCACCGTCGTGTGTTTTTCACTTTTCACCTGCATTACTTCTTTAGAAAAGTAAGGTTGGTATGTGTCTACAAGTTTAGGAACAAGACGTGCATGATGTTCAACGTACCTTTTACGTTTGCTCTTCAAGACGGTGGAAGTTGACGGGTTGCTATGCCAGTTCCTCTTCCTTTGATTGATGAACCAATTGTTTATCTGCTTTAGTTGTAAGCCTGTTTCTTGAACCAACCTCGCCTTATCTTCTTCCTGAAATATTTATATAAAGCCGGTTACTTAGCTTATTGATATAAACAGCGGAAACCTACAGATTTAACATGCTTTAATCGACTCCCTCGGGTAGTCGGACTAGAACTTACAGTAGGGTATGGCCACTTGGAATGTGCCTGCCACCAAGCTTTCAAAACTGATGTTGTATCACCAGGAAGCTTTCCTGCTCTCCTCTTGCGTAAAATTTCCTCCCTTATGTCCACAATTTTCTCCTTGTAACCCTACAAGGAATGTAAACATTGAGTTGCAACATTAACACAAAATAAAAATAAAAAACTCTACAAACAATGGTTTCTTTTTTGTTCATTAATTTTATTACCTGTTTGAGTTCATGTTTCAGTTCTTGCCTCACACGCTCCATCAACGATCTTTCGGTCTCCGTCGGGACGAGGGGTCCGAACCCCATGGAATCTGGACCGTCGAAACCTCCATCAAACAAGTTGGCATCACTGTCCACTTGGTCTTCATCGTCATCAGACATTGTTGCCCCCGTTCCTTCTCCCGGAGAAACTCCTGTTTATGCATTGAAACAGAAACGGCACGGTGAGTGTCGGATATCAGCTTTTTTCCGACACAATGTGAATCGTCGGAAGTAAGAATATAAATGCGCCATCATCTTCTTGACAGTTAAACTAAGGTACCTGTTAAGCACTGTAAGGATTGTTCAATCTCCCAGCATGCCATAACAGCTTCCATTGCATGGACCCGAACATGTTGTTGCAATTGTTCTTTAAATGAACATAGCAACAGAACATATTGCGTCTACACCAAGAGGGAAGCGAAATGTTATAAAATCATCTTCAAAGGCAACTTCAAAATAAAAAGATCCATTAAAATTTGTAAGTTGCAACAATAGAAACAAGGGAAAAATACATTAGAGGTCACTGAACTTTCAAACGCTACAAAATAGTCATTAAATTTACTTACAAAATGATCATTGTAACGTTATAATAATTATAAAAGTTCGGGAAACGTAAATATCATTTAGTAATAGTTCAATAAATATAATTATAATTTTATAATAATTCGATTAATATAATGATTATTTTATAATTTTTAAAAATTCAATGATCAATGACGCATAGTATACTTCATCTTACAAACAACAATGTCTAAAACGAGTGCAAGATCCAATCATGAGAAAGCTCAAAGCAATAAATTGGTCCTAAACATGAAAACATTTTTACTTCCGACTGAGATGCGAGGATTCCAATTAGAATGAATTGGAGTTTGAGTGCAATTTAGAATATGAGCGACAATTTGAGGACGTTAGAGAAATCAATCCAAAAATCTAAAGACATAAACGGAAACACTCTGTTTCAATCAGCAAGTCTCAGAACAGAGGGATGGAAATTCCATTATCTGCAAAAATAATTGTCGGTGCATCGAACACCGCTGAATTTAATCACAAAAGTTCTGAAATGATGAATTAACAATTCAATATTGCACATGGAAAACTTAAAAGAAGCCAGAATAGCAATCACGAATGGTTTTCAAAGCATACCATGAATTGATCGAGCTCTTTGTCATCGGCGACCAAGCTCTGGGCTTCGCCGCCGAGAGCCGAGTACCTGGCCACCACATGCTGCGACTGAGCCAGCTGAGCGTCGATCCTTGGGAGCTGATCCACCGGCGTGGCGATCCTAAGACACGACACGTGTGCTGACAGTAGTTGCTCGTACAGAGGGTGCGCCAGTATCTCCGCCTTACACCTAGCATTTTGCCAATTCACGGCCCCATCTCCTCCACTTTCCACTACGATACCTTCGCTCTTGTTGTTGTTCAAAGTCTCGCTATTACTGTTCTTCAAATCCCCCGATTCCACGGCAATCATGGAGTCCCCACCACCTCCTGCTGCGGTGGCCGCCACGTCGTCGATGACGTCGCTGTGGTTGCGGTGAAGAAGCAAAGACGAAGAACGTGATAGCCATCGGTTTTGAGCTTGTCGAACCGTGGAGGTGGAGTCTGAACCAGTTTCTTCCGTATGAAGGTTGAGGAAGCCATGGTCAGAGAATTGGCCACCATGCGGCTGGGGATGCTGCGAGCGTAGGAGGGCGGTGTTCAACCAATTGGGACAGCCGGTTTCCGCCAGTTGCTCCTCTTGTTGCTGTTGCTGCTCGTCGGTGAAGTGATGGAGAGGAAGGTCTTGGGAAAGATGGTTTTTGTGGTGAAACGCCATGGACACGGATACCAAAGAGAGAGAAATACGACAACTACAACGTTTCAACGATTATGAATTCATGGCTGTTCGATCGAGAGAGAGAAAGCGAATGGAAAGAAGTTAAAGTCTTTGTATTTAGAGAGAGGGAGAGGGAAAGAGCAAAGGTGAGGACTTTGTCTTTAAAGCATAGATGTATGGTGTAAGAGAAAGGTTAAGAAATGATTGTAATTTGTAACTATCCAAGTTATTGTAAGCAACGTGTTTGACGAGAGACAGGGAAAGTGGTTTTCAAGAAGCTGCTTTAGGTCATTAATCCTTGCTTATATTATGAAAATGCTGGATGTGACCATTTTCCTCATATATACATATATATATATATATATATATAGCCCTTCATTTTTTTATAAACTTGAATAAGTCGCATCAATTTTTTTTTTGTTTCTAAAATTTAAATTTAGGACATTATTTAAAGGGGCCATTTTTTAATTCTTTTGATATCTAAAAATTACAAGAATTTATAAATAAAATACAAGTTCAGAAAATCACTCATATATTACAAATAAAATTAAAATCATACAAGTTCCAAACTCAGTATAAAAATCAAATGTGACTTACATACCTCCTAATTATACAAGTACCGTACTCGCCAACAACGCCGAAGGAACTCCCAATGTTGATGTCGACAATTGTACATGATCTACTCGTTAACCTGAAATGGTGAGTAAAAATAGTGAGCTTTGGGAAGCTCAGTAATACAGAACTACCAGATGATATTGAAGGTTTTCTTATTGATTCAGTCATCTACAGGTTTTCTAGATGAACTAAGGTTTCACTGATATTTCTTCAAGTAATAGACAAACAGCTTATAGTTCATAGGAAACGTTCAGAAGACCAAGTTCAGGAGATTGAAGCAGGTGTCTAGTGTGTTCTCTCAAAACCAGAATAAAATGTAATCATAGTTTAAAAACAATAGTAGTTATTTCAGTAAAATAGGTTTTTTCAAAATCACTGTAGTACCCTCCATCCGAATACTCCATGTGAAATTCCCTATGACATCATCCATAAGGACTTACCCTAGACCTATAGGATCTAAATCCAATATGAATGATCAGAACAGAAAGGATTTACCAGCTAGCTGAACCTTAAAGACTCCATAATCCTACCCAATCAATACCCCAATAAAACAATTTCAGATAGAACCAGTAATATCAGTAAATAAAAATCAGAAGTTGGGTTTTTATATAAAATACAAAGTTTCCCTCTAACCGTGCACCAAATGCAATACACCAGAATACACATCTATAAGGACTTACCCTAGACCCCTAGGATATAGGAGTCCAATATGAACAATTAGAACATAAAGAATTTACCACCTAGCTGAACCTCAGAGACTCCAAACATCTAGCTAGACGTTACCCCAATAAAACATATCAGATAGCAGATAGTAATATCAGAAATCATGAGCTAATTGTACCTTGTGTCAGAAATCAGAAACCAGATATCAGAAACCGTACTTTATATAAATAAGAGAAAACATTTTTATCAATAGAGAACACACTAGAGGATCCATATATTTTTCAAAGGCGCTTGGAAATTATCAGGAATAGTAAATATTAACGTACGCAAAATTGATCGTATTTTAGGATCGAGGTTCAATTACAAACGGATCTAATCAGACATTCAGGAATTGATGCTTCAGGACCTTTTAGGATTTCAGGTGTATCAAAAAGCTATTTAGGAACCTTTATATCAGAATAAATTTCAGATATAACCAAAGTGATTTCATTATTTAGGCCATCAGGAGTATTTCAGACACTTTGATTTATAGTGGATTCTTAGCAACTTAATCCAATAAGGGTGAAACGATGATTTACGGTTTTCAAGATTCATGTTGATTTATCAGGATATTAGTAAACTCGAACTGAACAAATCTCAGCACCGTGATACCTGTCAACCACTCGAATCAATACACTTCAAGAATATTCACCCTTTAATACTGACAACACTAGTTGAACTGATCATCATTAGAACCATCGTTGAACGGATCTTGAGGTATTGTACGTATTCTGATGGTATTTATTTTATTTATGTATTGCAACAGTCTCCAAGATGAATGCCGTACTTAGGTAGTCCCTATAACCTTTAGTGTAACACCCCAACCCGTACCGACCCGGATATGAGTCAGAGATATTACATTGACTTTTAAAACACAACTCTTAACAAATAATAGCAAAATATTTGAACTTATATTAAGAAATACGATAATATACATATTAATATAAGTTTACCAAAATATTCAGAGCATACACAACTTAACCCTTTAATTACATGCCAACTGCCATTTACATAACAAAATGACCTACTGATTAAGTTGCTTCTGATATGGTGGTTGCAGGAGTAATGTTGTCAAGCTATTTAACGTGTCCCGTCTACTTTCTTGGATCCTACGTGTGAAAAACTCACACGCTAAGTCATCGACTTAGTAAGGAAATGTAATAATAATAACAAGGAAATGTAATAAAAATGTCATAATGATATGAAATGAGATGAAAGCATGTACTTAATCAATGTAGTTTACATCACCAATATCCATACCTGTAAGCATATTACTTTAACATTCATGAATTTGTATTAATAAGTTTATTGGCCCATGATATCATATTGAGAACCTAAGGTATGTGAGTATTGTGAGGTTGTGCACTATGCTGTCACCACAGCTCGTATAATTGCACCGAAGTGCCACGTAGAATTGCACCGTAGTGCCATATAATAATGTCCATAAGGACCACATATCATTCCTTAAGAATCATATACATATACTAGGGATCAAGTATGTGTCTTACAAGACTTCACACATATTCCACAGAATATATATATATCCCGAAGAACCGCGTAGAATTGCACCGTAGTGCCATATAATAATGTCCATAAGGACCACATATCATTCCTTAAGAATCATATACATATACTAGGGATCAAGTATGTGTCTTACAAGACTCCACACATGTTCCACATAATATATATATCCCGAATGACCGCGTAGAATTGCACCGTAGTGCCATATAATAATGTCCATAAGGACCACATATCATTCCTTAAGAATCATATACATATACTAGGGATCAAGTATGTGTCTTACAAGACTTCACACATGTTCCACAGAATATATATATCCCGAAGGACCGCGTAGACCCTCTACCAAGACTTGTTCATGCCAACTAGACCCTATAGTATCTCTCATCTACATAACATGGGCTTCCACACTTCACATAATTTGTATCACGTAGACATAGTATTTTCATACCTTTATCACATAGGCATGTCATTTCTTGCATATTCATGTCATGTAATGCATATGGTATAAACTTATCTCATGTTTCATAATATGGAATGTAATCATGTATTAAAATATTGAATCTAGACTTATCATAAGTCTAGAACTGATTATAATACTATATTCATGCTATGCATATGCACTCACCTATATTTCCTTGCTTTTTTCTCGATCGATCCTACTTGTCGATTGTTCCAGAACTCGTTTAGGCTCGATATCTACATATTAATTCATTGATACTTATCAGTATACTAATTAGTATATTCTAAACTATCATTTCTTAGGCTAAAAGAAAAGCCATTTTCATCTTTTAATGGAGGCATGCATCGATGCACTCCTGATGCATCGATGCACTGAGGGCATTCGACGTTCATTTTATTAGAAATGCATCGATGCACTCCTTATGCATCGATGCACTCCTTATGCATCGATGCACTGAATTCGATCATCGGCACTTCATATGCATCGATGCACCTTCAACAAATTTCATTTATCATTGATGCATCAGTGCATAATGAATGTGTATCGATGCACCCCAGAATGTCATTTAAGCACGAAAATCTCTTCTTACTCTACTTGACACTTTATATTTCCCCTCTTTTAATATCCCTAACTTGCATACTCTTACTTAAACTAATTATTATCCATTAAATAATTCTAAAACTTAGAAATCTAATTCTCCATGTAGAATTTAAGAATCTAACCCAAATTCCAACATGTTCTAATTTGAATTCTAACACCTCATACTTCTTAGTTAGTTTTATGACAAGTCAAATCCCACTTTCAATTCTTATTATGAACTCTACTTCAAGATTTCACTTTTCTACTTCCTTTCTTTAATTCTTCATATACTCCTCATCTTATGGTTTTAAGATAATCTAAGCTTTCCTTAAGCTTAGTTATTATCTAAGGATCAATAAGCAACCTTAAATTCATCAAGAATTTGATCCACAAGAAAACTCACCTTTAGTTTGGCTTCACGGGGGAGAAGAAGAAGATGATGAGAGAAATGTCTAAAACTCTAATTTTTCTCCCAAATACCATCCACGTGGGTTATAAGATAACCCCAAATAATATTAAATTCATTTACTTGATAAAAGACTAGTTTGCCCTCTTAACTTTTCCTTATATGCTAAATTATCCTTCTCCAAATATTTTAATCCAGTTCATGAACTTTCAATTTATCTAATTTGGTCACTGAAATTAAAATCTCACAATTTGATCACTAACCCGGTATGAGGGATATTACAAATCTCCCCCTTAAGAAAATTCGTCCTCGAATTTTCATTGCACGAACAGATAGGGGTATTGATAACGCATATTTTCTTCACGCTCCCACGTTGCTTCCTCTACTTTGTGATTCCTCCAGTGAACTTTGACCAACGGAACTGATTTATTCCTCAACTGTTTAACTTCATAAGCCAATATTCTCACTGGTTCTTCTTCATATGTCAGATCCGATTGGACTTATACTTGTTCTGGTGCAACGATGTGAGAGGGATCAGACCTATATCTTCGTAACATGGACACATGGAAGACGCTATGAATCTTCTCCATTTCCGGTGGCAAGGATAACTGATATGCCACGGGTCCTATCCTTTTAACAACTTCATATGGCCCAATGAATCTAGGACTTAACTTTCCTTTCCGACCAAAACGTAATACTTTCTTCCAGGGAGATACTTTAAGAAAAACTTTATCTCCAACTTCGAACTCAATCCCTTTTCTTTTAAGATCAGAATAGGACTTTTGCCGATCAG